TTGGTAGAATATCTAGAAACTTGCAAAACACTCCAAAATCACCCAGTTTGCTTTTCTGAGGTGCCCCTTGGTTCCCATCCCGTTCTCCAGGATGGTGCAGGGAGGTGCCCATGGCAGGGGACCACCATGGACGAGGCTCTTGCAGAAGCCCATCGGAGCAGAAAGTCGTGTCAAAGATGCCTTGGGCTCTTCTGGCTTTGGGTGCAGACCGGTGTGGGACACGATCGCTGCCTCTGCAGGGATGCTGGTGGGCACGGTGGGGGCTGGCTCTGCCTCCTGCTCTCAGGCTCACTGCCAGCATCCTCTGGGTATCGGTGAGGGCTTGGAAACAGGGCTCTTACCTGTCAGTTGAGCTGAAACTCAAATGTCTGGCTGGCTATGAATTCATCTGCATCGGCTACATATGCATCTTGGTCTTGACTCTAAAAGAAAAGCTGATGAAAGAGGCAGGAACACAGTCTCAGTAGGGAAGAGGCTTTTAGAGGGGAAAAATTGTTTGAAAAATAGCAAGGAGAGAGGAGGGGAAAGAAGTCTGCTGGGAAAGGAGCGTAACTGCCTTACTTCCTTGGAGGTCTGGGAAATACATTATGCAGAGCTCCAAACAATGTTTGCCAGCAGCAAGTCTGCTTAGATGTGTCCATGGGGGTTTCCTTGTGTTTTTTTCTATTCTTTTTTTTTTTTTTTTTTTTTTTTTAATAGCCAAGCTCTTTCTTTCCTGGGGCCCAGGGTGATCTGTGACTCCTGAGTTTGTGTTAGGAGCTCGTTTGTCCGCATGCTAACGATGTGCTCAGGGCTATGCGTGCCGTTAGCACCCAGGGAGAATGTCCAGCCCTGGCGTGGTCCAGCCCAATTCCTGGGAGAGGAGTGGGTCTGCCCAGGGACGGGCTCGGCTGGGTCACCAGTGCTGGCTTGGAGCAGCCTCGAGCTGCTGTTTTCGGATCAGCCAGAGCTGAGGGGGTCTCTGCAGGGCTGGATGTCCCCCCCTTGGTGCTGGAGCTGGGTGGCCTTGTGGGATGGAGACACTGCCTGGAGCAGGATCAGCCCCTTCCCCTTTGCACTTGTGTGACTCTTGCTGGGTTTGCAGGAGCTGTGCTGGGCCTGTGGGGGTTTCTGACCCTTTGTAGAGCCCGAGAAGACCGTGGTGAGGTTTGGCTCGAGTGTGTTGGCAGTAGGTGCTCTCTTGGCCATGTTCTCCCTGAGTGCTCCGCTCTGCTCCGTGGTCCCCCACGCAGGGCTCCTTCTGGGTGCCTGTTTGCACCTGGGCATTTTAAGTCACCATCCCATTGATTTGGGTTTCTTCCCTGTTGCCACGGGCCTCTGGTTTGCAGCGCAGAGCTGGTCTGCCCTTGGGGAGGTCTCATTCTTGGCCCCAGCTCTACTGCTGGAGCCTGCAGCTCCTTCCAAAGGTGACTTCACCTCTCTCTGCCCCAGTTTCACCAAAGATGAGTTGGGTCCTGTCCTGCTGGTACTTGCCACTGCCGGAGGTCATGAGGATGTACGAGTGGCAGAGGTGTCCCTTTGCTTCTGGGGCTCTGGTGTTGACCTTCCTGCCCCTTCCCTGTGTGCTTTCATCGAGGGCTCATTTCAAACAGGGTCCTTAATGCATGAGCACCCCGAAGGTGTTCCTGTACCCTGGCTTCTCCTGGCACCTCCAGGTTTCCTTTTTCAAAGCAACATCTGCTCAACTGTCCTGCATGGCCATGTGTCCCCATCCCCTCCAGAGCCACCAAAGGGGACCTGCAGCAAGTGAAGATGTCCCAAGGAGGGCTTTCCTCTAGCTGGCTTGGGAACCCCCAGCAGGAAAAACACCTTTGGGGAGGGCTGAGGAGCAAGGGGGGATCATGGCCAGGTGCCCTCATGGCTGTCTGTGGCTGGACTGCAGCCCTTGGGCACGGAGCAGCGTGGCACCGGAGGTCCTGTCCGTGCTGTCGGCGGGAGCCTTTAGCAAGGAGGGATTTCCTGAGGGACCGATCATTGGGGTTATGCAATCTCTGCAGCTTTCCTCTGCTGAGACTTTCGTTGTAGAGATTTTCTGACATTTTTGCCCTCTGGAACAAGCAGCATCTCTTCTGTGCTGTGTGAGCCCCTGGAGAATTACCAGAACCTTTTTTAATCCCAACCGATGGATGCGAGATGCGGTCCTGGCTTGTGCACGGCAGCGGGCGGATGCTCAGCGCCGGAGGGGATGTGAGCAGGAATAGTAACCTGCGGCCATTTCCACGTCGTGCTGTCCCTGGCTGGTGGGTGGCAGTGGGTGACAGCTTGGATAGGGCTGGAGGAGATTTCACACTGTGGTCTCTCTCCAGCTTGATTTGTACACTGTGGGCGGGCTGGCCCTGCAGCCGGCATCGCCCATGCTCTCGTCCTGGCTTCGCCAAGGACACGTGTAGCTTTGGGCAAGTTCCTGCAGTCCTCTGTGGCCGAGCATCTGTGCGGAGATAAAAGCCCTCTCCCACTTCATGGGGCTTTGCAAGGCTTTGCAGGCGATATCGGGGTACTTTGAAAGGGAAGTGTTCTCAGTGTTTGTCTGCAAACCGCCTCTGAGATAGACGGGTGCTGTCGTGCTTTTAAGAAAATGTCTTTATTTGTCCTACCTGAACGGAAGCGATTTCCCCTCTGTGTCTAGTCTCTGCCAGGGAATTGCAGCAGCCCCCCACCTCACTAGCAGTGTGCAAATCCCCTTTTTTCTGCTGTGTTCTTCAGGCTCCGACCGCTCGACATCGAGTTCATGAAACGCCTGAGCAAAGTAGTCAACATCGTCCCTGTGATTGCAAAAGCCGACACGTTAACGCTGGAGGAGAGAGACTACTTCAAACAAAGGGTAAGGGACTGGCGGCTCTTATCAAGGCTCCCATCTCTTGTCCCCCATCCCCTCCTGGCCCTTTCCCCCTCCCCGGCTCCCCGTGCCTTTCCCCGGCAGGGCTGGGAAGGCAAGCGCCTGGCCAGGAGCCCAGCGCATTCCTCCAGCTGCAGCTCTGAGCGATCCCACGTGGCCGGAGGAAAGGCCTGTGCTCCAAACCATTCCTTGTGTTTCTCTTGGATCTTTGTCAGTGCAGGGTAAGTTTTAAGCTGTAGGTTTCGGGGCCTGTTTCTCCTGCCTCCTTTGTTATTGTTGTTGTTATTTTCAGGCTGGTTTCTGTTATTTTGGGAGGTAGGTGGTGCTGCACGTAGAGGCTGGAAAACCCTTCCTGTGCAGCATCATGTGCTGATACAGGAACCAGGCAAGAAAAAAAAAATGTGGGTTTGCTGAGCTCAGCTGGGCAAGATTTATGGGGGAAGCAAGGCATGAAATTCCCTTGATTGCCTTGGTCAGGAGCTGGCGGTGGGGAGCTGAGGAGGGGCTGTCGGAATCCACAGCAAGGCAGGGGATTTCCTCCGTGTATGTCTGGTGCTGCCGAGCGGTGGAGATGCCCCGCTTTGGGGTTTGGTCAGGGGTTGTAAATCCATTTGTGTAGCTGATGGATGTGGGTGCAGGCGTGATGGCCTCAGCATTCCCTGCAGAAGTAAGCAAGCCACCAAGGGTTGTTGGTCCATGAGCCTGAATTGCAGGGAAGAGAAGTGCAGGGAAAGGGGATCTTGCCAAAAGGGCAGTTTTAGGGGCCACATCCACTGGTTATGGAGAGGATGGCACATTAGCCAGGGGTTGTTCAGTGCCTCCATGCAGAAGAGGATGAGCCATCCCTTCGCACACCAGTGTCTTCCCAGTTCTTGATGAGCAGAATCATGCACTGAAATATCCAGTCTGGTTTGAGGGGCTGAATCCAAACTCTGCAGGCAGTTCCCTTAGCAGTGAGCTAGAGGGTGACTGGAAATGGAGCTGAGAGGTAATCCAGGCTGGGCTCGCTTGGTGTGTCAGCCTGTTCACACGGAGATCTGCGAGGAGCTGGTGTGGGAAGATGGGGGATGAGTCTGCGGTCCCACCTCCGCTCGCTGCAGTGGCTTTTGCAGGCTGCTGGCTCCGTTCAGAGGTTATGAGCGCACGTATCCGTGTGTCTGCGGGTGGCTGGCTGGCTCTGGGACTACAAAGTCAGTCTGGGACCTCAAATGTCACCTGGGCACTCTTGGCTGCTGCTACCATCCTTCTGTAATGAAAGACTGTGGGGAGATCACCTGGCTCACCCACTGTGGACCACCTCGGCGCAGGATGAGTTCACCCTATCTCTGATTCCATTCCTGATCGTAACCAGACCCCCAAAGTCCTTCCAGATGGAAAGAGAGCACATAGCCACATGGCCTGTTCGCAGTGCCCTTTGTGCGAGGGGCTCGCCCTCCTTACGCTTGTGGCTCCAAGTCCGCTGGTGCCAACGAGAGGGCAGGTAGTCAGTCCAGGTGGGCACAGGCTGGGACCTTTTCCCTTTTCTCCAGCATGCCTCTGTGCGTGCTTCCAAAAAGGAGAGCCCCTTCTGCATCTGGAGGTGTAGCTGGTTCGGAGAGTCGATCAGTTTTTGGGTTTGGATCGGGGTAGGCGGGTGATGGTAGAGCACCAGCCCGGCTGCAGGCTGTCAAGGTTGATGCCAGCCCTGCGCTCAGTTGGTGGAATGGGCTCTGCTGCCCTGTGGAGTTGGCTTTGTTGGGTTGTGTTCCCCTGAAAATAGTGTGTGGGTTGGCTGGGGGGTGGGAGGCCAGCTGGGGGGCTTCTCTGGGCTGGATGTGCTTCCTTTGCCAGCCTGCAATGTAGGGCTGACACGGAGGGGTTTAATGCCGTAGGAAGCGATGGGAGCGGGCGCGCAGGCTGGGTTTGGGTTTGCAGCTCTGTTGGAGAAGACCGATCCTCCAAGCTCCCCGGGAGCTGAGCCTCCCCCCAGGAATCAGATTTTGGCATCTCTTCCCCTTGCACAGAGGCAATATCCTTCGAGGCCGGTCTTCCAAGCTGTCTGTGTCCCTATCCCCTCGGATCAGGTGCTCCCGTGACTCCTTTTCCAAGGAGCAGAAGCAGATACCAGAAGGGAACTCCTTGACTCTGGATTACGTGCCTGGCAGCTACATTCCCCATTGCTTGGTGCAGCTTGTATTGTCTTACTGTCTTTTTCAATCCCAAAGCAACGCCCAGCTCATATATCTTCATCTGACTCTCAGCCTGAACCGTGTCTTGGCACCAGGTTCTCGCAGAGGTTCCAGGGCAAGCTCTTGGTAGGTGTGTAGCAGTTAAACACAGGTCTCTCTCCCCAAGGTGTGCAGTGTTTAGGATGGAGAGGAAAGATGTTGCTGCTGGGCATTGCTCAGGAGAGCCTCTTGGGTCGGCTGGAAGCAGCCGCCGGGGTGGGAGTGCAGCTCCTCTGCCTCCTGTCTCCTTCACATGTTCCTCCGCTCTTCTCTCCTAGATAATGGCTGATCTTCTCGCCAACGGGATCGACGTGTATCCTCAGAAGGAGTTTGATGAAGACTCTGAAGACCGGCTAGTGAATGAGAAATTCAGGGTTAGTGCATGGGGCTGTGGGTTGGATGTGTTTGGGTGGGCCCTGCAGCTCCGGGAGTTGATGTCTCATGCAAGGGGCCTCTCTTTTCTTTCCAAAGCTGCGGTGCCCCTGTCCACAGGGTCTGCCCAGGATCCTGCCAGAGCTCAGAGCAGGGACAGAAGGAGGGTGAGGAAGGCATCTGGGGAAGGCGTCCTGTCCCATCCGTTGTTGATCCTTCCCTCAGCTCCGTTCCTCAAAGGTGCCCTCCCAGCACCAGGAGGGAATTTGTCCCTAGGCTGCCCGGCTTTTGTGGCTGTCAATTCCTTTCTACAGGAATTAGCTGACAATTTTTTGGCTCAGTAAAGTGGGCTGGACAAATTCAAGGAAGAAAAATGTCTTCTAGGGACTCTTTAAGTACAAAGACACCACCTTGGTTCAGGAAATGACTGGGCCACAGGTTGCCAGATGCTGGGGGCAATTCCCAGGTAGGCATCACAGTACCTTTGCCCTGGCTGTATGCTGGTGCCTGCCAATGAAGTGCTGGGCTAGACTGGTTTTAGACTGGTTTTAGACCGGTTTTGGACTGGGCATGTGTGTGAGAGATGCTGCTGCCCGGGTCCTGGGCTGCCTGCGGTCCCTGGCAGGCAGCACTGCTCAGGAGCATCAGGGGCAGAGCAGCTCATCCCATGAAACTCTCCTGAAAACAGCTTGACATAGGACTTGGCTCACCAGCCAAGGTCACCTTTCCTGACCAGTTTTTAGGAGGAAAAAGTAACCTTGTTTTTCTCTTTCCTCAGGAAATGATCCCTTTTGCAGTGGTGGGCAGTGACCAGGAATACCAGGTTAATGGAAGAAGAATCCTTGGAAGGAAGACCAAGTGGGGCACCATTGAAGGTACCTTGTCCTTGTTTCCCTACCTCCTGAGCCCATCTCCCTGCCCTGACAGAAGGTGATGAGGGCCAAAACCAGCAGTAGACATTGAGGTGTATATAGTGCTTTCTTGCCCCTCCAGAGAAGATCACTTCCCCGGTGTCTGAGGACTGGAAACACCTTGGCCAATGCTCCTGGGCCTTCATGTGGCTTGGGGGGCTGCCGAGTGCTGGAGGGGGACACATTTGGGTGTCTTGTGCCTGGCTTCTGCTTGTTATGCAGTTAAATGCCTGATGGCTGGATTTGAGGGCACACGAGTGACACTTCTGTGCCTCACGCCCAGATTAGAGCTTTCTCCTGGCATCTGTACTCTCCACCATGCATTTAGTTGGTGCCCTTGTGGGATCGCTTCCATTTTCATCCCATCGGCACCTTCCTGTATTCTCCTCTATTTTAAATCATGGTTTAAAGGCTAGGTGAAAGGTCTTGGCTCGAGCACATCTACATATTTCTGTGTCCCTGGTTTCTGGCAGCCAACTGGCACATCTCTAGTGCCACCCATCTGGTCTTCCTCCCCTTCGTTTCATAGGTTTCTCTCATTTATGAGTCTTTTTAGTAGGAATCCTGTGTTGAGGGATGGCTTAACAAAGGTAGCAGGACCGTCAGTGTTTTTTAAAGCTCTGCTGCCCTCTTGTGCTGTGTCCCTGGGAGCTCTGAGTGTGATGGGATTCCTTAAACCACTCGCCTTCTGCCTGTGGCATCTGCCTTCGGTACGGGGAGACGCCAGGACCCAGCCATGGCCACAGGCAGCCTTTGCAGAACAGTGTTATTTGTTGTCTTGCCATTCCTGCATGATATACAAGCCTCTTTGGGTTAAAAAAAAAAAAAAAAAAAATCAAAAAAGGGAGTTGATCCTCTAAATTCAAATGCCTGGCAAACTGCGAGCTGTCAGACTAATTGTAGTGGAGCAACACCCCTTCATTTTTCCCTTTTGCAAACACTGTTCCTTGCTCCAAGCCGTGTTCAGAGAGCAGGAGCCTTTGTCAGCAGGAGATGAATCGCGTTCGTCCGCAGCACTGGCAGCCTGGGCAGCAGTCACCAACATGCCTGGGATGCTGCGGGATGCTCCTGTCAAAGCTCCAGATGAAACACATCTGTGGAGATGTGCCTGGTGCTCGCTGCAGAGCTCACCCTGTCCCTTTCCCTGCCTTGTTTGGGGTCTGCTTATGTTTGCGTTCGTTCAGAGGGGGGGTTACACTGGGGGATGCTACTGGGAGCTCCCTTGTTTGGTGGGACATGGTTGGAAGGGACTGGGAATGCTCAGTCAGACCTCACCAATGGGCCATGCTGAGCTGGGGCAGGTACCTGGGTACCAGCCTTACAGCAGCAAAGAGGGCTCTTGAGTCCTGCACCCTATAGCCCCTGGGGGTAGCTCCCCATCTCAGCCCTCCACATGCTAGTGAAGCCCCATAGGGTCCTTCTTACCCCGAGTGGTTGCCATACTCATGCCATGGGTGCATGTTGATGGGTTTCTCTCTCTTCCTACCAGTGGAGAACACGACACACTGTGAGTTCGCCTACCTGCGGGACCTCCTGATCAGGTCGGTAGGACTGTGCCCTGTCCCTGTAGCCTTTGGTCACCAGGTGGCATCCAGAGAAAGGGGACAGCCCAGCAAAGCTTGAAGCAGCTGCTGCTTTGCTCTGCTCCTCCATCCATCCCTCCATCCTTCCACCCATCCTTCCCTTCATCCCTCCCTCCATCCATTCCCAGCCTGCTGCAGCCCGTCTGCGAGGGATGGCCCCCCTCAATGGGCCACGACTGCCAAGGGGCTTTTCTCAGCTGTGGTGCTGAGTTAAGGGAGGAGAGGAGCAGTGGATGGGTCGGGACAGGCTCCCAAGATTGTGGCTCCAGCTTCCCCGCAAGCAGCTGGGAAGCCTTTTGGCCTTGGTGGTCTCTTACCAGCCCTGGTTGCTACCCCCAGTCCAAAGACATCACGCTCCTGCGACCCAGGATCGTGCCATTCGGGGGTCTGGGTGATCACCGGTCTCTCTGAGCCCCCTTGGCTTGCTGGAGGAGGCATTGGGCTCCTCTTAAATTTAGCTGCGAGATAAACTCTGCACACGTGAGCTGTTGCTGGCAGATGATTGTATGGGGCTACAACACCTCATCCCAAGGCCTTGCAGGACCAGGGTCTTCCCCAGTGGGTGTTGTGCAGCCGGGGCTCCCGTGCACCCAAGGACAGGCTGTTGGTACCAGTGAAGGCTTCTGGGCTGGGCTGCCCATAATTGCCTTTGCATCCTTCCTCCTGTGCCCTAAAGATAGCATTAACCAGTAAAGCAGGAGGGGAAATTTGGGCTGGAAGGGGGTGTTTGAAAGCAGAAGTTGGGAGGTGCAAGGGTTGGGGTGGCAGAGGCTGGGGTGGCCAAACCTGTGCCCAGCAAGGTGCGATTGCCACCGTCTCCCTTTCCCGCAGGACGCACATGCAGAACATCAAGGATATTACCAGCAACATCCACTTCGAAGCCTACAGGGTCAAGAGGCTGAACGAGGGCCAGAGCTTGCTCTCCAACGGCGTGACCGACAAAGAGCTGGTGGCTAACGAAATGTAACCGTCTCGCTCCGTAGCCAGGACCTTGCTCGCTCACGCTCGCTATTTCTCCCCTCTTCCCCCTTTATTTTTATATAAATCCTCTGCCACTGTCC